TGATTTACTATCAACTCAGAGAGGGTGTTTAAAGCCTGTGGGGAGGTATCCCTGCACACCTCAGGGAGCTTTTCTGAGGTGATTTTTGTGCTGCAGGGTAGACTTTCACACGGCAGAGCTCTAGCTCTACCTGTGCATCCATAAGGTGTAAAGGGACAATGTCACAAATCTCAGTGTTGCGCTCCCAGCCCTACTGCTGTGGCTCTTCAGCAAGTCCATCTGTCGTGTTTAAAGCCTGTGGGGAGGTATCCCTGCACACCTCAGGGAGCTTTTCTGAGGTGATTTTTGTGCTGCAGGGTAGACTTTCACACGGCAGAGCTCTAGCTCTACCTGTGCATCCATAAGGTGTAAAGGGACAATGTCACAAATCTCAGTGTTGCGCTCCCAGCCCTACTGCTGTGGCTCTTCAGCAAGTCCATCTGTCCTGCAGCTGGACCTTTGGCTCTCCGTGCATACAGCAAAAAGGGATGCAAGTTGCAGAGCCAAAATAGCAATTTCCCCAGAGGCTGAGGGGGAGGGGGATTTGCCTGGGTACATTGCTAGCTCTGTTGTTCCCTGCTTCACCTCTAAGTCAGTGAAATTTTAGTTTGGAGGGGGTTTTTATGTGTTGGCTTCTTTTTATTTGATTGCAAAATCTTCTAGATCTCAAGCCCCAGACACTGTCTACTAGTGTTCCCTGCCTCCCTGCCTACATAATCTACATGTGCGTCAGACACGCGGATCACATCTGCGATGAACAGAAGGCACACTATCTGCTTACCTCCACCATCCACAGCATCAAGCAGTTGCTGAGGGTAGGTGTCCATCTCCTCTTGTCTTGGGGTTGAGATGCTGTAAGATGTGGCAATAACCAAGTCCAAGTGTGTGGTATTCAGCTCTCATAGCGATTTTCAAACCCAGTTGCTCTTAGAAGTTCCCTTTTTAGAAGAACAAGGAGCTGGAATGAGTCTAGCCAAGGCCAGCGAGGACAGAAAAGGGCTGGAAAACATGTCATATGAGGAAGGGCTGAGGGAGTTGGATATGGTTAGCCTGGAGAAGAGGCTGGGGGTGACCTCATGGCTCTCTGCAACTCCCTGACAGGGTTGGAGAGAGGGGGGGGGTATCTGTCCTGCTGTGGCTGCAGGGAGAGGACTAGAGGGAATGGGCATAAGATGAGATGGGAGAGTCAGACTGAGTGTTAGGAGAAACGTGTTAGGGTGTTGAGGCACTGGGGTAGATTGCCCCGGGAGGTGGTGGAGTCACCATCCCTGGAAGTGTTTAAGAGGTGTCTGGAGGTCTCCTCCAACCCTGATGATTCTATGATTCTAATTATGAACTTAGTAATGCAACTGTTTGCATTTACAGATAAATAAAAAGACTTGCAGGGATGAAACAGCTAATGCTGCCCATCTGCAGAGAGAAAGGTTCATATTTCTAGGTTGGGGCAACTCAAAATTGTTTTGTCTTGCTATGCCAACATCCCCCACTTGACAGGGAGGGGGGATCTCACATGTTTTAATTCTGTCTCTCCAGAGAAACAGTGATGACTTTGAGATTGCTTCATTTTGGCTGGCGAACGTATGTCGCCTCCTGAACTGTCTGAAGCAATACAGCGGAGACGAGGTAAGAAACTCATTAGGAGTTAGGAAGATATTTTTTACAGAGAGAGTGATCAGGCATTGGAATGTGCTGCCCAGGGAGGTGGTGGATTCACCATCCCTAGAGGTTTTCAAGATGAGACTGGATGTGGCACTTGGTGCCATGGTCTAGTGACCACAGTAGGGTTGGACTCGATGATCTCGAGGTCTCTTCCAACCTGGCTGATTCCATGATTCTATGATTACTGATATTGAGTGTGTTGGGATTCCTCCAGGAAGGGTCTTTAAGTCTCCTGGTTCTAGTGGCTTCATCTCTGACTCTCTTCCTTTGTTAATTTTTATATAATATGAAGCAGCTCCTGGAACCTTAAAATCACAGAACAGCCTGAGTTTGAAGGGACCTGAAAGATTATCTCATCCCATCTAAACCAGTTTGTATCCCTGTGTCCTGTCCCTCCATCCCTTGTCCCAAGTCCCTCTGCAGCTCTCTTGGAGCCCCTTTGGGCACTGGAAAGAGCTCTAAGGTCTCCCTGGGGCTTCTCTTCTCCAGGCTGAGCCCTTGCAGCTCTCCCAGCCTGTCTGCCTTAGGTTGTTTTGAAGACTGTTCTCCTGGTTTTAGCAGGTCCCACGACTTTTCATTATCTGAGATTTTTAGACAGGCAAAAAAACTGTTTCAAATTTTGCAATAGAATTCAGAGTGTTTCTGCTGATTTTTTTTCCCTCCTGTGCTGTTCAACCAAACCGAAACAACCACACTTGGAGAGAGCAAAAAACACATAATCATGCTGTAAGATTTCAAAAGGGAATCCTCTCATTTCTTGCCACCTCAGTAATATTTCATAAGCTGGAATAAATTTTTATAATAGCTGATCCCTTCCAACAAAATGAGATCATCACAGTCCTCTTAGAACATTGTATGCTGCCATCATTATAGCTGTCTGTTCTGTTTATTAACATTTTCAACACAAATTATGTTGGGTTTTTTGGTTTGGTCTTGATTTTTGTTACATATATTGAGCAATCAGACTTTAAGGATAAGTGAAAAACAATTCCCTGGAATGAAATTAACTTTTCAGGTCTTTCCAAAGTTAATGATTTCTGTGTAAAACTTTGGTGCTGCACTTCTAAGATTTAAAATTTAAATTGAAATTGAAAAGAAAAGCAATTTAGGGAATATTTGCTTGTAGCTTTGCTGCTGTTTGCCCACTTCTGCCTGGATAATAATGTTACCTTTTAACAAATGCTCCCCAGAAAGCTGTGGTGAAAAAACAAACAATGCAAACTTGAATTTCACATTTTTTGCCATGATTTTTTAACAAAACAGCTGTCTGTGGATTCCAGTGATAATTTGCTGCAGTTTCCAAAATACTGTTATATTCTAGTTGAAATCAAACAAAAGGTCTAAAAGAAAACCCCAAACCATGTCCAGTGTTGCCTGGTGAAGATGCTCTTTGATTAGTCAGGAAATTGTGAAGTCAGCTCAGATTTACACGTATTTTTGCTAGTCAGCGAACAACAAAAAACAGTTGCACAGTTCTCATTTTGACACCAAATAGGACCATATGAACAGGCAATTAAAGCATCTGTGTTAATCACAAAATTAAGCTACATCCCATTTGCTTCTGCCCTAAATTAAAACTGGTGTTGGTGTTTGAGTCCAGAACTCAGAGCATACAATATCCATGAGCTGCTTCTCCAGGCAATGAAATTCAGTTATTTGGAGAGATGTATGAACTTAGACCAGTTTAAAATGTTGCCAAAGCACAACGTTTATAATTATGTAATTTTTTTTTCAATTTTCTAAAATCTTCATTTCAAAATACTTGGTTTCTTATAAGCACTTGCAACTCAAAGGGATAAACGTGTAGCTAAAGAGCCATTTCTGAGGGTCTGAGATGTCATTTTCTAGTTCTGTATGTTGCAATTAGCACAAATCTTGCTCCTTGCTAAAAATGAAATGGAAGAAAATGATAGCTTAATGATGATTTTCTTCCAAGCAGTGCTCTAGTAATAATTTATGAATAAATGCCTGAGTAAATCAAAGGTGATTTATGAGTTTTGATCTTTTCTGTCACAGAGCAAAAATGTATTTGGAGATGTTGCACTCTAAGGGTGAGGGGGGTTGTAACACAGTGGGTTTGATGGGCTATAAGTGGGTGGAATAATGACACCAGGTGCTGTAATCTTCTCCTGCTCAGTGTTACACATCACAAAACACGCCAAAGCAGAATGAGCATTGCCTGCAGAACTTCGACCTGAGCGAGTACCGCCACATGCTGAGGTATCTCTCTGTCCAGATCTACCAGCAGCTTGTTAGGGTGTCAAAGAGCACCCTACAACCCATGATCGGTGAGTACATAGCACAGTAGCTTTCAGGAGGGTATTTCTTGGCTGTGATTATCTGCTCTGACTGTTTTTCAGACCTTTAGTGCTAGCATGACCTGGAAGAGTTTTTATTTTCCCTCATGATAGAAACTAATACAGATGAGGTGTTTTCCCCCCTTGATATCTCTTTCCTTCCTGTTGGGGAAGTAGTGACAGAGTTGAGGTGGTGCTGATGTAGGAATAGTATTCCAGTCCAGACCAGCTTTGTTGGTTAATCTTTTTATGGGTGGAAATGTGCTTTATGAGGAAGGAGAGAGCTGGGAAGAGGAAAAAGACCTTGTTTTGCAAGGGAAGAGAAGGTATGAGAAGAGTTACATCCTCAGCTAAATCCCTGAGAATTATTCTGAAGAGTGTCCCATCCCTGGAAGTGTTCAAAGCCAGGTTGGAAGGGGCTTGGAGCAACCTAGGCTAGGGGGCTGGAACAAGATGAGCTTTAAGGCCCCTTCCAGCCCAAACCATTCTCAGATTCTATAATTCTATCAGTCAGGCTGTAAGAATTTTTATTAATTTTGATCTATCTTAACTTCTCCCAATACTTTGAGCCTGTAAATCGTCTAACTGCAGAATTTAAGGTTCTGTGGGGGGGTATAGGGGGAGAACTGATTACAACTCAAAGAAGAGCTGTTCCCTGTTTCTGTGATTTCTGTGAAGTAACACCAAGGAAGTAAAAGCGTGATCTTGCAGATATCACAGGGCTGGAGCTCCTTTGCACTCGAGCCAGGCTGGGAGAGTTGGGGATGTTCAGCCTGGAGTAGATAAGGCTCTGGGGAGACCCTAGAGCCACTTCCAGTGCCTAAAGGGGCTCCAAGAGAACTGCAGAGGAACTTTGGACAAGAGCAAGAGCCTTGGAGGGACAGGACAAGGGGAATGGTTTCACATGGCCAGAGGGCAGGGACAGATGTGACATTGGGAAGGAATTGCTCCCTGTGAGGGTGTTGAGGCACTGGCACAGGTTGCCTAGAGCAGTCGTGGCTGCTTCATCCCTGAGAGTGTTCCAGGCCAGGTTGGATGGGGCTTGGAACAACCTGGGCTAGTGGAAGTTGTCCCTGTCCATGGCAGAGGGTTGAACTGATAAGATTTATGGTCCTTTCCAACGCAAACTGTTATTTGCGTGCTTTATCTATTTAACCTTACGGCAGTAAACCAGCAATTCATAGATCTGTCCTGCTCTCAGACCTCTCAGCTTCCATCACGTTGCATCACTGAGACTGCTACATGTTTCTTGCAGCCCACGGAGGGGTCAGTTCTTCCTCTAGTGACTAACAGGTGGATGAAGTCTCTTTAACTCGTTGTTTTTCCCCGTTTTTCAGTGTCTGCAGTGTTGGAAAATGAGAGTATCCAAGGGCTTTCTGGTGTCAGACCAAAAGGATACAGAAGATACAACTCCAGCGTGACAGATTGTTCCTACACCTTGGACGAAATGATTCAGCAGCTGAACACATTCCACAACATGATGTGTGACCAGGGCATGGACCCAGAGATTGTGCAGCAGATGTTCAAGCAACTCTTCTACGTAATCACCACGGTCTCCCTGAACAACCTCCTGCTGAGGAAGGATGTCTGCTCCTGGAGAACGGGCATGCAGCTGAGGTGGGACTGGGCTTGGGGCAGGCATGTGCCTGCTTAAGGAAACTTTGTTAATTTAATAAGGTGGTGGAAAATAGGAAAATGAATTGCACTTCTCAGTGTAAACTATTTAAATTTTTCTTTTGCTACCCTCTCCCCTTCCAGACAGGCTGAGAGAGTTGGGGCCGTTCAGCCTGGAGAAGAGAAGGTTGTGTGGAGACCTCAGAGCACCTGCAGGAGCTGACCGGGCTCTAGGGAAGCTGAAGAGGGACTCTGTGTTAGGAGCTGCAGGGACAGGACACAGGACAATGGGGATAAATTGACAGAGGGAAATTGAGATCAGATCTTAGGCAGAAGTTTTCCCTGTTCTGGTGGTGAGACACTGTCCCAGGTTGCCCAGGGAGGCTGTGGCTGCCCCAACCCTGGCAGTGTTCACAGCCAGGTTGGATGGAGCCTTGAGCAACCTGCTCTGGTGGGAGGTGTCCTGCCCAGGGCAGGGGGTTGGGGCTGGATGATCTCTAAGCTCCATTCCAACCCCTCAACTTTCTATAACTCTTATGATTTCCATGCTGGATCTTTGTGCATTCCCCTTTCAGCTGGCATGGGCACATCTTCTGTGTAGATATTTTCAGATGTAACTGGGTACCTTGCAGGATTTTGTTAGCATTTTGGGGTCAATTTAGCAATTGACTGTTGAAACTTGGAGAAATCTCTCTGCTGCAGAAAAGCACCTCCCTTGTGTTGTTTGGCCGTTACATGGCTCATCTCTTTATAAGGTACATAGAGCATTAATTTTCCTCTGGGCTGTGGAGTACTAAGCTTTGGTCTGATTGTCTCTTGCCGCGTATGTCACAAAGATGCATCACAACAGGCCACATGTACCAGCTCTGCAACATAGCTTGAGCCTCATGAAGGGTTTTTGAGGTGCTCCATCTGAGCTCACGTGTCGTCTCGGTTGCTTACCCAGGTTTAACATAAGCCTGCTGGAGGAATGGCTGCGTGAGAAGAACCTGCAGCAGAGTGGAGCAGCAGAAACTCTGGAGCCCTTGATTCAGGCAGCACAGCTGCTGCAGCTGAAAAAGAAAACCCCAGAAGACGCCGAGGCCATCTGCTTCTTGTGCAAAGCGCTTACAACCAAGCAGGTAGGGAGCAGGGCTGAGGCTGACACTGGAGTGTATGGATAGCTAAAGGAGTGGGAAAGGGTGGTCTCCTGATGCCAGGTCTTCACTGCCCAGCCTCAGCATGCCATTCCTTCAGTGGAGACAACTTGTTCGTTTCAGGACTGATGTTATGTCCTGACCCCTCTCAGAGGTGGTCACCATGGTGGCTCCTCTCTTGCACTGCCACTGATGGCACTGGAGCTCCAGAAACCTGTAAAGATGAAACTCAGTCCTGAGGAGTTTGTGGTATAAGTCAGACTCTTGGGCTTTTAAACACACCTGTTGTCTTTTATCAGGTCTAACCTGGCTACGCTTGCAGGATGCCCACCAAGGATTCATATTTGGGGCAGGAGGTTGAGCAGTGCCCACCTAGGCTGGCTGGATCTGACGTTATACTTTGAGACTTCATTCCAGGAGAATGTAAACTCATGCCTTTTGCTGCTGGATTGCCTGGTCTTAGTTTAATAATGTCACAGAGAGGGAGAAGTGAGAGGTGTGAGCTAATCCCCAGTGGTTCTTGGAGAGCTCTTCTAGTGTATCTCCCTCTCCCTGTTTTGAACGTGTGGTCCTGAGAGAGGCTGAGGAGTGGTAGGGGACAAGCAGGAGTGAGGGAGTATCAGGAGAAGCACTGTAGAGGTGAAACCAGAAGTCACCTGTGTCACCGTGCACCAACCAAGTGGAGCCTCTGTAAAAATCTGTTGTTCAAGTCTATTCCCCATTTACAAATGTTGCTATGAGAAGTGACTTTGACGGGTCCATAGATCTTGCAATACCTTACAACAGGCAAAAGAAAACACCAAGGTGATACTCGTCCTGCTTCTGTCGTGGGAGACTTGTCACGACCAAATCTTGGCAAACTGTTAGTGGTGCTTTGTATCCTGGAAAAGTTTGGCTTCTCATGACTGTCTGTAACACTGCTTTGTTTCCAACAGATTGTAAGGATACTGAATCACTACACTCCTGTGAACGAGTTTGAAGAACGTGTGACAGTAGCTTTCATACAAAACGTGCAGGTAAATTTAAAGGGCTGTGAAGTGGAGGAGGTGGTACAAATGACACCTGTATAGTCCTAGTGACACCTGTATTAAATCACTGCAGTTTGTAACAGGTATTCTGCTGCATGCAGTCCTAAATTCAGTGCTCTGTGTGGGATAACCAGGGTGTTAACCACAAACAGCAGTAAGCTAGCTCAGCTCTTTTAGGTAGCAACATGATCTAGGATTAAGGTTGCAGGAGCCAACAAAGCATTGGTGAAACAGAGCTAATCCTGAGACATGAGGTAGATATTGGCAACTAAAGGAAAAATAAATACATGAAACCCAAATGTCTTTCAATGCTCACAGGGAGGAGGCAGGAAAAGGAAACAGACATGGGTTCCCTACCCCTAGAATCACTGAGTGGCTGAATCAGAAGTGATCTGCTGGTACCATGCAGTGCTGGTTTTGCTGTGCAAGGGGGTCATGTTGTTTCCAAGTCCTGTATCTTGTGGTCATGTGGAAAACATAGGCAGGTTCTCCTGAAATAGCTTCCTACAGTCTATGTAGAAACTCCCCTAAGTACTTGCTCAGAGGAAGGCTGCTGCAACAGAGAGCAAAATAGTTCTCACTGTTTTCTGCAGCATCTATGAAAGTATGTACATTCTCAATCCTTTGATACTAACACAACAAAAGCAAAGAAAAAGGCAGTGACTTATGCTGAATTTGTTTTCTTCTCCCACCTCTCACAGGAGAACTTGCGGGATCGGACTGAGTCTCCTCACCTGCTCTTAGACTTCAACCATGTGTTCCCAGTCCTGTTCCAGTTCAACCCATCCACCATCAGCGTTGACTCTATTCATGTGCCTGCTTCTCTCAAGCTGGATTTTCTCCATAAAGTCTGAAGAAAGTAAAATTGTACCCAGAGACCTCCAGAAGAGAAAGAAAAAGTCTTGAAAGGAATTTAAGAAGCTCTTTAAATAAGGACCAAACAGACTTACGGAAGAACCAACACGCGGTAATAAATTAATGCTAAAATGTACAGTAAAAAAGAGACTAGTCTGTAAGGGTGGAGGGTTGTTTGGTAATTTACAGATCAGAAATAAGGGCACTTGAAATAAAGATTTACTTTTTACTTATTGTTTTTTGTTGACATGGTTCCAAGCCCATAATCTTCTCCAAAAGCCAGTAAGAAAAGAACAGGGAATGGGAGACAGCTGACTTAGATCTTCATAGGTGTCCATAACAGTTAAATCAAAAGCAAAATCTGAGACACTTATGCTGCCTTGGAGGATGTGTGGTTTGTTTAATATCAGGTGGTTTTATGTTTCTGAAAAACAGGACATGTAGTTCTGCCTCCAGTTCTTGTTAGCATGTGCACTGCCATAGTGAGTTGAGAAGGTGAGCTGCAGAAGGTGTGTGTTTATCACACTGGTGAGGGTAACAGCCTGGGATGCTACTGGTTTCCACTGATGTGGAGTTGGTCACAAATTCTGTGTTTGGGAAATGCTGCTGCTGCTCCTAACCACACCCAGTGCATCTGCTTTGTGGGGATTTGGATAAACTGTCAGTTTGGACTTTCTTCCATTGCCAAATTTATGTTAGCCAAGGTGAAGTGAAATAATCTTGAGACAACGAGCTGTCTTAGGTCTCCTGCTTCTAGTATGGCATCACCCTGATCCCTACTGTTGTCTTTCTCTGTGCTTTGAAGTGTCAAAAGTTTTCATCCAGTGGCTGCTGAGGTTCTTGGACCTCTTGCATGGCCTTGTGTTAGATTCTCATGCACAGATGATGCTAAGGCATTAATCATTGGGTCCTCGACCCTATGTAGGTTCAGTGGGTTAGTCCTAGCCATAGCTGTCTATGGAAAAAGTTCAGTAGCCATCCAAAATACAGGGCTTGGATAAATGAAGAATACTTTAACAAAAGTCTGAAAAGAAGAGAGGTGAAATGTTTTAATACCAAAAGAAGTTGTTAGATGGTGTGTGAGTCATGTACAACAAAGGGACCAACTCTCTTACCTTACTACCCAAAAAAGCACATTTTAAAAGAAAAAGCTGAGTGCTATCAAGGGTTACATTGGTCAGTCACATAATTCCCACGGAGACTATGGTTTAGTACAGCTGTTAGCACTGAAGGACAGCCCTAAGGATAAGAAGATATTTTTTCCCCCTAAGCATCACCAAGATAATTGTAGAAGATGTTCTGCTTGTGTAAAGCCAGCAGTATTTCCAAACTATAGTCCTTAAGTATTTGCACCTGCTGTGTACATTCAGTAGTGCCCTCATCTTCCATCCCTGAGACAAGGGGCTGTCTTAGGCCTCCTGCTTCTAGTATGGCATCACCCTGATCCTACTGTTGTTGGCTTTCCCTGGGCTCTTTAGTGTCAACAGCTTTCATCCAGTGGCTGCTGAGGTTCTTGGACCTCTTGCATGGCCTTGTGTCAGAACCTCATGCACAGATGATGCTAAGGCATTAACCATTGTGCCCTCGGCCCTATGTAGGATCAGCGGGTTAGTTCTAGCCATGAGGGCAGTGCCACCAGGTTGTTGTCTGTGCCCAGCAAGCCCATGCTGCTGTCACTCATTCACCTGCAATATCCTTGTTTACCTGCACCTACCTCGTCTGGCAGTGAATGTCTTTGCAGAGCTCTGAGTTGTTTGCATTGCCTCCTGCCCCTTCTTTCCACACTCTAGTAGTCATAAATAATCCCAAGCAGAACTCAGCCTTTCTGTAAGGTGGTTTTAACCCAGAGCTGTTGCTCAGGACTCACCTTAGGTCAGCAGTCTCCTCTCAGGCTCCTCAGGTCTCTACCTCTCTCTGGTGTGAATTACTTGGTGTACAGTTACCAATAGATTGGTTAAACCAATGCTTATGACTCAGACTAAGTGACAGGCTACTGCAGGATCTTGGTTCTGCAACAATATTGTTGCTGATCCGTTACAAAATGTGCTTAATGCTCTGTTAGGGGATAATGGTCCTTGACTGCAATTTTCAGGATCATAATTTATATGTACTTTCTTAAAAACTCTTGGTATGTATAGACAGGAGCTGGGATTTAACGTCTTGATCCGTGATGATGTAGTTTATCCAGCCACATCCATCTGGAAGAGGGCTCTGTGTAGTATCTTTAATGGACGTAATTTTTTTTTGTCAGCAATTTTGAAAAATTTTTATTTAAATGTTCACATAACAACATTTAAATGTTAAATTTGGTTAAATTGCTAAGCTCGAGCATGCCTGCCACTCCTCAGATCAGCACTTCTTTGTTTGAAAGAGCAGGCAGAACACAAAGCATGGCTTTGAAGATGCTGCTGTCTCTCCAGATCTGTCTTTACTTTTAAACATTGGTTACTCAGCTGTTTTCCCCACTCTGTGCCTTTAGCTGTTTTAGCTCAACCACTGTTTCTCTGAAACAAGCATTGAAAACAAGGGGATATTTTTGTTGTTCTGTCATGTTATAAGAGTTGTCTGTGTATTTAAAAGCTTGCTGATAAAACTTTACTTCGGGAAGGTCTGCAAAAGCACTTTGAAATTTCTGGGGAAAAGAAAACTCACAGTACTGTCCTGTGATGATTTTTTTTGTGTGTGATGTATCTTGGAAAAAAAACCAAACAGAACAATTGGCTGTAAAATGAAATAAGTTTAGCCATAAAAAAGCCCCTGATCACCAGAGTGAAACACTAACAAGGTGTTGGGCATGTTTTGAGCGTTAGTGTCTGCCTTTCCTCATCCTGCAGCTCTAACATTGAAATTCATGACCCTCCTCGCCTGTGATTGGCACAAGAGACAATCAAAAAAGCCGCACTTGAAACAAAAGGTCATTTTTGTCCTGTTTTCAATGGTAAATGAACAAAATTGTGCAAATTTATTCTTTCAGACCATGGACCAAAAAAATCAGCATTTTACCACTGCATAGAAACAGGACCTAATCAAAATAAATTGCATGCACTGCTGTGAGCCTTTTTTCCTCCAGCTTCATTGATCCACAGGCATATTACAGCCATAAATTGATTGGTTTTTTTCTGGAGGAAATTTTCTAGCACTGTAGATGTTAAGTAAAACAATCCAGGGGATGTGTTCCCCAAAGAGTAACCAGATTATTTCAAGATGTGCATCCCAGTGGGCAAAGATTTTCAAATTAAGTTGAAATTAGAATTAAATTGTATGTTTCAGAAATAAAAGTGCATGCTTGTAAAATACTTTATCATTTTGAACAAATCTGTAAACTACGTCTTTGTTTATAAGAGACAAAATGCTTGTAATAGTCACTAATATTTGGCTGTGGATAATAAAGATCAAATTGATGATATAAAGTCTTTTGAAGCAATTGTGACTTCTGTCAGAAATGGGAATGTGAAAAAATAACCTCTTGCTATACCTCTACATATTGAAAACTCTTCCCTTTTAACATTACAAAGTACTTTCCAAGCAGAAAATAACAATATCGAAGCCTTTACATAAGGCTTTGGAAGGTTTAGAAGCTGTAACTTCATTTCAGAGGTGCTGAAATACTGTGAGCTGATTAGAAACTAACTTAGAGTGTGGAATCTTACTGCCTTGAAAGCCATTCTGAGTGAGTGGAGGAGAGGGGATGCAGTGTCAGCCCTTATGCATGTGCTGAAATCACAGAATCAGAGAACCCCACAATGGGTTGGGCTGGAAGGGATCCTAAAGATCATCCAGTCCCACCCCCTGCCATGGGCAGGGACACCTCTCCCTAGACCAGGTTGCTCCAAGCCCCATCCAACCTGGCATGGAACACTCCCAGGGGATGGAGCAGCCACAGCTGCTCTGGGAATACCTCTCCCAGTGCCTCAGCACCCTCAGAGGGAAGAATTCCTTCCCAGTATCCCATCAATCCCTACCCTGTGGCACTGTGAATCCATTCCCTGTATCCTGCCCCTCCATCCCTTGTCCTAAGTCCCTCTGCAGCTCTCTTGGAGCCCCTTTGGGCACTGGAAGGGGCTCTAGGGTCTCCCTGGAGCTTCTTTCCTCCAGGCTGGACATCCCCAGCTCTCTCAGCCTGGCTCCTGAGCAGAGGTTCTCTCGCCCTCGAAGCATCTCCATGGCCTCCTCTGGACTTGCTCCAACAGTTCCACATCCTCGTGCTGTTGGTGCCCAGAGCTGGAGGCAGCACTGCAGGTGAAGCCTCACCTGAGTGGGGCAGAGGGGCAGAATCCCTCCCTCATCCTGAAATGAGAGAAGCCAGTGGTTCCTGAATGTAGGTTTTCACCACGTGTACTTTTCTCCATCCACGTTCAGGAAAGCCAAAGCTTGGAAATCATAGCGACGCTGTTACAGACATGGATGGTCAAGCAGATTAGGGCTGTGACCCTCCACCAAACCCCTGAGGAGGTGCTGGGGGTGGTGATGTGGGGTGGTCAGTTCACTCTCAGGGAGGAAAGATGCCCTAAGGGCTGTGAACCTCCACCAAGCCCACTGAAGAGGCATGAGGGAGATGGTGGGGGCAGGGGTCAGCTCAGCCTCGGGGAGAGGAGCTGCCTCCAGGGCTGCAATACTTCACCAAACCCCAAGGACGTATGACGGGGGCTGTGGTGGTGGGGGATCAGCTCCCACTCAGGGCTGCGACCCTACACCAAACTCCTCTGAGGGGCATGAGGAGGGTGACCTCTCCCTCACAGAGCACAGTTGCCTTCAGGGCTGCAAAACTCCACCAAACCCCTGAGGAGGGGTTTGGGGGGTGACATGTGAGGGTGACTTCTCCCTCATGGAGCA